CGCTAAAAGACTACATGATGTGTAACTCTATCTTTGCCCCCAAGCGATAAGTAACCGATTGCTACATAAAATGAATCACTTCGAGTAACGTCATATGCCTAGTTGGTTTGTCGTGACTTGGAGACGACGGAGGCTGCGGGTTCTACTACGACTCTAATCTGCTTGTCAATTCTTCTAAAAAGATTATTCTTTCTTAAGAAGATTAGCTATTATAACATACGCTAGGCATCTCGTCGATATTAATGAGCTTAAACGTTGTCCAACATTGATGGTTGAAGAAGCTGAACGCTGGCTGGCCGGTATATTACAGATGAAGGTGACATCTCTACTCAGGAGAGGAGATACGGTTAGCCTAAGGGAGTTAGAGAATATTAGATATGTGAGGACGAAGGAGCGAAGAGGCCTTTAAGGGTATCTGCGCAACAATGGACAAATTAACAGAACATAACGGAAACCTTAATCTGCTAACAAAATTACAACTCGTGCCGCTCCTACTATCGGACAGACAAAATTAATCCCAGTTACAAAAACAATAAAGAGAAAATAATAGGAGCTTTCCAGTTCAAGTCATTCTTGGACGCTGATGCTACGAACGGCACTAATATCTAGAATCTTGTACCCCACCAGGATCGTGCATTGCTCGCCGATGCGACACTGCTTGAAAATTGGGTGGGCCGAAAAAAACACGGAAATTAATAAATGTTATGGTAAGCGCAGGAATATCGTTCGACTTGGAGTGAATTTGAAGTGATTAAATGCAGTTATCTTTTGGTATTTGCAGGGTAAGGGTACGTGGACAAGCAGGACCCTCCGAAGGCCATTCATAATACTTTCATTGACTTCATGCAGTCTATTTGTAGGGATGTGGAGATGTCAGTTCACCGAAAAAACAATAATGCTTGTTGATCATCGTTTTCACTGCACTGAACAAACCGGCCTTATGAATGCTATTCGAATTGAAGACGTCCGTTTAATATTCTTTTCATTTTACTGATGGTTCGCGTGAATTGGGGCTGGGTTTTATGCTGGTGTTACTCAAAACGCAAGCGTCATCCAGTCTTCGATTTCATCATCATAAGTTCGCCTCGTTGAACCTTAGGAAAATAATTCGTATTGCCGAATAGATATTTATGAACTTTGTTGGCTTGTACTCGTACCATCGTTGCAAAAATGGCCACATTTGCCGACAAAATGCTCTCTTGTTCCGATGGCTAGGAGACTCGAAAACAGTGCGTGCTTTCAAAGAAGGCGAATAGATCCATTGGCTGCAGTTTACCGGCGAGCCCAGAAAAGCTAATGAATAAATGATTGACACTCCCTCTTCCCACGAAGATAATTTCGGCAATTTCAGCTGGAGTATTCATGGTTTCAAGCAGGCCCAGTTAGTTAATGCACTAGGAGTCCTAGTTTCGTTTGACGAAAACGCGCGCATTTTGTAAATATGTGTGGCTTGTCATTTATATTATAGACTATACATTGTTTACCTATTTGAAAGCGGCAGTTTAACAATGAAACACGAACATTTCTGCTGAAAAATTCGGCTATCACCATTAATCACTATCTATCATACTCTACTGACGATTGAAAGCAATAAAACACAAAGACGTTTTTAACTCAACGAAATTCTATTAAAATTATACGTCAAGTGCAGGTATACGTTGAATGTGATCAAGTATGTCACTGGAAGTTTTTTTTTTCAATAACAACTGATAATTGCTTGCTTCTGTTCGAGATCATTTAACTAACCTATCCTAACTTCCCATCGAATGGGCTGGGGCAGAAGGTCAAACACAGAAGACTCAATTTTTAACTAACATTATCAATGACTAAAATCGTGTTCATGCAGCATCCGTGGCACTAATACATTGCGGCTGCAGTACTTAGCTGTCTCTTTGCGGTATAGCTTCTCACAAATAGTTTCGTTCTCACAAATCCCGCATAGACTTTTGTTGGCCAAAGCCAAGACGCAGATTATGGGGCGTATCGGCTAAATGCGCGATGCATTCCTGCATGCTCACACTTGAGCTTCAGTCAGTAACCGTTTCGGGCTTATCGCCAGTTTAGGCTCCTAAAGTCACAATCCATTTTTGTGAGTGCCGCGCCTAATGTCGAGGGGACAGATGGGCGTGGACTTAACGACGAAGTGGACGACTTTATGAGTCAAGCGACACGTACAGAAAAGTGCCCCAGGGGCTCCACCGTATCTACTTACGCGGCTTTGTGCAGTGCTTCGATTCGGAGAACATCCCTGTGGATCGCAATAAGGTTGTGTTATTAACGCTGGGACCTACATAGAACCCTTTGATAACTGCTCGGCTGGCGGCCTGAAGTAGACACGTATCGTAAAACCTTGGGGACTGAAAATCTCTATACTAAGCTACGTGCCTGGCCAGCTTACCTTTGGATTTGAGTTTGGACCGCGTGCTGTTTAAGTCTGAAGAATAAGATTTATCCAACAACAGTAAGAAAGTAGATGGATCACCTAGGTTTTCACACATAATAGGGCTGAAAAGGAAACTTAATTTCATACACTATCTTTTGTATAAGTTACGAGTCAGCAATCTATGCCACATTTGGAACTTGACCCAGGGCACCCTAATCAAGTCGACCTACCAAGATGTCTCGTCTCAAATTTCTCTTTACCTGAATTAAGGTCCATAGGCTCGTGCATTATCCAGAATTACGCACTGGCAGAATATTTATACGCAATCACAACATTAAAGCCTTTACCTTTTGCAAATTATACGGTCGAATTCAGTACAGGTTATTATAAAGCAACGATCATATCATGATTGCTAGTATATCAGTTCTGTAGCGCTAATCCTGTTGCCCCTCCGAGTGGAAAGCACTATAATATATATTGATATGCCTTAGGAAAAAATAGGGCACATTAATGTTCACTTTTCCGACGGCTTTTTTACGTCAGCAGGTTGAAAGGGCCTGCTAAGAAAATTCTCTATTCATTGTCATCCAAAATTTAGATTCTTACATGTTTGAACTTAATCTTGTTTCTTTTTTCCTACAGGTATTTGTCGTCGATTACATCTACTAACTTTTCTGTAAGCAACGCAGAGATAATCTTATCCGTAAGGCACATGACCTATAATAATCGGTCGAGGGATAGTATAAACTCACATTGTGCCCGTATCACGATTAACAGAGATACCCGTTTCTTTACAGTACCTGTCATTTGCTGTTATCATATTTTACCGTAACATTATAAAGAAGTGTTCCCAACTGAGGTACCTGGGCATACACCTTCGATTTTATGGCCAAGATATGGCATGTGAACACAGTGAATTGTATTCAAGGGCGAACCTGTTCATCGTCCGCTGTTGACTCTATTCCTATAGGCGTAGTGGACCAATTTTTTCGCTTGTAGATAAGGCCGCCATTAGGACATTAGTACCGATAGTGGCGACAGCTAGGAAAGCATTAGAGGTTATAGGATTCCAACAGTTTGCATGCAGCCTTAAAGTTCCATCTACATCGTGCATTGTTATGAGCCTACGAAGATACAGCTTAAAATCGTGTTTTGTTTTGAGTACGCTTGTATAACAATTCCATTCACTGAAGACTAAGAAGAGAAATCACTGCGCTGTGAACACGCGCTAGTTGGCCTCCTCAGCGGGCACCAGCGGGGCGGACAATCATCTGTTCGTCCGCATTATGGCCACAATGGCCATGGCCAGTAGCTGTGTCAATACGTGTAGCGAGCGCTTTTGTTGGCAAACTGATTTGTAGCAACGCTTGCATCATGCAGATCAGCGGCATAGCGGTAGAAGTTCCCGCAAGGTATTGTGGGCCCTGCGCATTTCTCGACGTCACGCACCAAACCTGACCAGTGCGGCAGAGCTAAACAACGACTTAATGTAGCATAACAAAAGACTCACTTGATAGGAGGCGATACATTGCTTCTTTGCCAGGTCTTTTATATGACGCAGCTGTGCTAATGTGTTGATGGCGGCTGTTGTCTTACTCCGGCCTTTGTTCCCTGGCCTTGAAAAGAGCCTCTTAAGGTAAGCGACCATAAGAAGGAACTGGAGTGGCAGCCACGCCACTTCAGTGTCAACACTTGAGCAGACATTAAACCTGTGGTCCATCAGTTGCTGATGCTGTTGTTATCGTTGACTTCCTTAGGTTCGCCGTCGTCACTAAAGTTAACAATCACCGTAGAATTCACAGTAAACTGTCAAACCGGGATCTATTGCTGTGCTGTAAACGGGTAACTGGTCCCGCGAGTTGTTCTGACGACGCTCGCTAGACATGAAGACCGACTATGACACTAAACGTAACACATCTGCGATTGTGGATAACGCGTAGTAGTTCGTAGAAGAATAAGCTACCTGTATATAGTACCGAGTGTATAGATATGAGCAAACAGTGTTCGGTGGTTGCAACTTGCGATGCAGTAGAGAAGTTGTTAGGACAAGCGGCAGCAATGGTCGCCGATAACGTCAAATGGTCACGAGGGAAAAGCGTGGAAAGTCTCAAGCCGTCGTCCGGATACACTGTATGAAAAGAAGTTGTGCATTCTGTAATAGTAGCGGTTGCGTGAGTCACAGCTGAGCGGAAGAGAAACCCGACTAGCAAACCGAACAAGATAGAGGCTGAAGATGAACCAAATCGAATTAGTTGCCATATGTTATATATGTAAATCAAAACGTCACCTGGGACCAGCACCATCGGTACGAAAATTTACCATATAACAGTTAAATAGAAGGCTGGGTTACGATAAATCTCGGTAGCTGGTTGCTCCCTTTTACATTATCATTGTTAATTAAACGAACGGATCGGTTAATGGCTGGGTTTTGACTGTCAATCATAAGCAGCTGACCATTAGAATTAATTTGACCTACGTCACGAACGCATTTAAAATTACCAGTTCTTCCGGAACTACTACACCAAAATGGATTATTTTACCAATTGAATAATATTATTATGTTTATTGCTCTTTTTGCTTTTTTGTTGTTTGTTTTTTTATGCTGTCATTGCGTCAGAGTGCATGGTCCTTGCATCGGCAGAAGAATCAACGCGACGACTCGGGGGCCTGGCTTCAGCTGGATGTCCGCCCGCCGCCGTCACGGTCGAGGCAACGAGCTCAACGCCAATCAACGCCATTACGCTTATCCGTGTCACCAGTGGCATTATTGCCGCCAGCGACTTTTACCAGTGATCAGCACGTTAGGTACTTACTGTAAAAGTAGCGGAAGCTGCGGTGGCGCCAAACACAGCTTGAAGCTGAAACGGCTTACGTTGGAGTACGGAGTTCCGCCGATGAGGTCCGCGCGAATTGCCCGTTCAAATAAATTCGTCTTTCTGTTTTCACGATTCGGTAAGTGGCTGACATAGTAAAAACGATTCAACTTAATTATGGTTACTTAGTTGTGATTAGTTCAATCACACATGTCGAGAAGTTTATGTCAGATAAGTTAGTTAATATTATTAGGCAATTATTTGAACGTATTGTATCATGTTGGGTAAAGACTGCTGCATGCAGTAAAAGATGTTAGTAAGCGTCAAGCGTTGCTTGAGTTGGATCTGTTCATTTTGTAGGTAGAAAATAAAAAAAATAAGTCCGCTGTGTAACATATGGGTAATAAATCATCGTTCCCTAATCGTAATCAGGGCCTACAGTATTTCTTCCATTCGAAAGGTTCAATAGCGCTTAAATGAATCTGGAACAGAGATGTTCCGTTGGCGGCCAGAGGGGCCTTACGCCCTCCGTAAGCTGCCGTAATTACATCGTGCTACGATTCGTCGTAATTTATGCCTATGCATTATATAAGGATGTGCCTATCAAGAAGCATACGTGCAGGCTTATACGTCACTGTGCTTCTCTATAGATGGCCAGCTTCACTAGATTATCTTACACTGCCGCGTTTGAAGAGAATACTTACTTATTCAACTGAATGGTCTCCTTTACCCGCTCGCGCAAGTTTGCCTCATACCCTGCCTATGGGCCGTGTAACGAAGTCGATTAATTAAAGGTCGTTAAGTGCTTAATAACTTAGTTTTATTATTTATATAGAAAAATGCGTTCCTCCCAATGTTGTTGACTATTCTGATCTTTCTAGAAGCTCTCGGAAGCGCGTTATAGTCAGAAAGTTCAAGTTCAGAACTGAAAAAAGTCAAAGCAGAGAAAAAAATCAAGCTGGCTAAATCCATATTGGGTCAATGATTTATTTAGTGCGTAGAGCTCCATCGATTCAAACCTTGCAGAATTTCGAATTGTCAGTCACGATGTCGGGAATTGTTCATCTCTTTGTATTCGACAAAATAGATGGCTATGTTATAGTGCCAAATCGTAATTAAATTCTATTTAGCATATCTACCTGTACCGCTTTAGGCATCTGGCACAGGAATCTAGCACCTTAGCACCTAGCATCTTAACTGACGCAAAAGAGTCATGTATTCACCTTATCCCTCCACAGACGCTACTTAACTTCACGAAACATTGAATAGGCCCAGGATTCTGCTATGTTGACATGCGCAGATACTATTCTCTAGGAGAAAAGGCGAAGGGGACGCAAAAGCAAAGTTGAAAATTGCGTCCATTCCTCCGTCAAATGATTTCCGTCCTTTCTCCTACTTTGCAGATATAAGCCATCACTTTTATTGATGACTCTAATCAGTTCCGCTTCGTCATTAATTATCACTGTTTTGTTCCTTTTTTTCTTGCAGGAATTGCCCGTTCGGAATGCCACTTGTTAAAAAAGTACCTTAAGCGGGACAATCGACCTAGCACTAGCAGCAATCCAAATCAACAGCAAACCCGATTTTTCGAAGAAGCAACAAGGCCGAGTTTTAGCGGCGGCGGCAGCAGCAGCAGCAGCGGCAGCACATCGAATCTATATACATCGATTAATTCGATAATATGGCGATATGCGACGAATCAAATAGAGACCATGCGAGTCGTGAATTAGAACAATTACTTTTAAACCGCGATAATAACAAAAGCTCGCCTCAAAACTCTCGCCAACAGGTAAGAACTGGGTATTAATCGTAATGGTATCTGGGCATTTAGGTGGCCCGCACGACTATACTTTCACCATTTCGGCCTATCTACCCGCTAATTCGTTACTCTCGACCTTTGTCCTGCCGAAAATAAATAATTTAAAATTTTCTACATACGATAGAGATAATGTAATATGCAAGAAACCAGACGACTACAAGAAACGTAGATAAATACAGAATATTCATGTGTAGTTTTTACTGTGTATGAAATTAAATACTTTTTTTCTTGATGCAGGTCAACTGGGCTATTTTCCTGTTCTGATCCGCGTTTCCCTAATTCAGGGTTGGCTCCAGTTATTATCATCGTCACGTAACGAACCCCCCTGAAGTAAATTTCCGCGCGTTTTCTGTGCCAGCTACAGTGCTTCCACGTATTCATTTCTCTCTGTGCCCATCTGTTCTGTACACGTTCAGCGAGGCTCCGTTGTTTCTTTTCTCGAGCCAGTTGGCATTGTATTCGATATAAGCGTCTCGCAAAGGTCACCGCCTCCTAGGTATCTAGCTGCATTTGGCCAGGCAGTGATAGTCATCATAAGCTTCGATGAACCTCTGCTAGACTTGTAGGTCACGACATCGAGAATTATTGGTTAGGAAGCACAAAGTGAGAAAGATAGTAAAATACCCAGCTCTGGGGTTGTAACGTCTGCAGTATAAAGTGTACAACTCTAGGCAATAGCTCGAATAAAAAGTACGGCGCCATGTCGACGAAATAGTTCGAGGAGCAGATTCTGGCCCCGAACCATTCTGTGACCAACCATTCATTGTTTTCGTCTGCTACTCTTATATTGTCAAGCTATCAACTTACACAGCTGGAAAAAAGTAGCTGAAATACTGTCGCAGGTCAGGTTCGCGACCACCTCAATTTCATGTCGAACATATTCCGCTCATTTACATACTTCTCACAAGATTTTCACTAGTGCGTACGTTAGTTATTTACGCCGAATGTGTAGCAAATCACGCAGAGTTTCTTAGGGGCCAGAGCCGACTGGGTCGACCACCATAACCATGGGGGTTGATTTTAATACGTTTGTCCGCACAATATGTTCTGACAGATTGACACAAAACACTGCTGGAATTTCGACACGGTGTACTAAAAATAGTCTGTCAGATCCTACAGGTTTACTATTTTTGTCGCTATACTATATTTGTCGCTAGCATCATATGGCGACTAATATATAAACATATAATATTGAGTTTGAAGGGAAGAGAATTCCGGGTTGCTTAAGTTAATTAGACTTAACCTTGGGGCCATTGGGCCAATTTTACTCGTAATGTAATCACGTATTGGGTTCTAACACCAACGGCAGTAGAAGTAACCGTGGTGGAACAGAATATTATTCATACATTGTGAGTCATATTATCGTTAAAGCTCATGAGGTCCTATAATTGCAAAGCGTAACGTTCCTGTAAGCATCACTGCATACTAATCTGCTATACAACAAATCAGAGCTAATACATCTTACCTCCTGTTCCACTCGCAGTGAAGCCCTTATTGTGGAAGTACTGGCATCAAAAGCTAAGAAAATAAAAAAAAAAAAAAACGCAGCCAAAATTTACTTCACCAAAACTTAGAATGCAAAAAGTCAGATATAAATAGATTTAGTGTTCTTGTCGAAATTAGCTGTCCTTGGTTTTCTATACATAAAAAACTGGGACACTATAGGTCATTTTGCAGAGTACTAATTGGTTTTGTCTTCCATCCTCTCTCTTTACCTCCCTCACTGCGGTTGTCTTTATTTTAATTATTCCAGCAAAATGGTAGTTGCTCAAGTTCCTGCTCCTCGTTCCTTGCGCCACCGTCGGCTTCGATTCCAGCAGCACCTACAGCAGTTGCGCTGGTGTCTCCGCAACTCCAAACCCCCGCCGAATCGCATTCTAGCCCGCACCACGACGGGAAGAGTAGACAAAATCAGCATCAGCATCATCAGCAGCAACAACAACAGCAGCAGCAGCAGCAGCAGCAGCACCCTCATCACCGTCAGTATCACGGTGGCAGCAGCAATAGGATGGACCCACCGTCGACACGGAGCCCGACAAATACGCCCGGTCATCGGCGTACACGATACGACTCGGACAATTCGTCGTCATCGGGCGGTTTCTCTTCGTCATCGGGAGCAGCGCGTCGCAAAACTCGTCGTCCGCCCCCCGATGGCGGCTGGGGTTGGATAGTCGTCCTAGCCTCGTTTGCTGTTAATCTGATCTCAGACGGCGTTTCGCTTTCGTTTGGGTTGTTCCTGCCAGATTTGACATCATACTTCGCTGTGGGCAAAGGTCATGCCGCTTGGGTAGCGAGTCTATTCTTATCCATGCCGTTGTTGGCGGGCCCTGTTGCCTCGTGGCTAACTGATCGCTACGGTTGTCGGCGGGTTTGCATTGCCGGTTCATTGCTCGCAGCACTTGGCTTCATTTTTTCCTTTTTTTCTAATTCATTAGCGTTGCTATACGTGACGTTCTCGCTGGCCGGTTTCGGGTTGGCGCTCTGCTACGTGACGTCGATCGTGATTGTGGCATATTACTTTGAGAAAAAGCGGTGTCTGGCTACCGGACTTTCGGTGTGTGGGACAGGAGTCGGCACATTCATCTTTGCCCCTCTAACGTATTTGCTTGTCGAGGTATTCATGTGGCGAGGTACGCTGCTCATATTGGCTGGCTTCTTCCTTAACATGGTCGTGTCGGGAGCTTTGATGCGAGATCTGGACGTTCAAGATGGCGAAGATGGAGACGATGAGAACCATCCAGGTCCGCGTAGCCCCTCACCTACTCGCTGGGGATTCGCGGGTCACCTTGCAGGAGGCCGTCGGATGTGCAGCTCCTTGCTACAGCTGCCTACATACTTATCGGATGAGTCGCCAAGATTACCGGAACAGGTACGGATACGAAATTTTGAAGGAAGGTAGAAGCAGGAAAAGAACGTGTGGAAATGTTTATAATTCTTCGTTGGAAAAAGGAAAAAAATAATGTATTACTCAGTTTCGTCGTGTGTTGTGGCTCTAGATTGCTATCTGGAGAATTGACAGAACGATTGTTTTGTATGTAAACTTTATGTAAATGTGTTTAAGTTTGAACTAACGTAAAGAGAGACCTCATTTATAAAAACAAAAAATTTTAATTTATTTGTCGATGTATATTTTGAACTTATGATTTCATGTAAGTGTCAATGAGACTTATGCTTCGTAGCAACAGAATCTCAACACTATTCCTGAAATTAGCTTATATTAGACACCACACTCTATTTTCTAACCAATATATGCGCGATTCGCAGGTGCTTACCGAAATGTCATCAAAGGAGAAGGGCCACCTGAGTACACTATTAAAGAAATACCCTAATCTGTGGAATGACGTGCTCAAGAACAATCCGAATGATGATCCCTACCTGACGGTCAAGTCTTCTCCAATGATCAAGACCATCCTTGAAAACCGCACCCTCGAAGAGCTGCCGCCATCATCTCCATCAGCTACACTGGAATCATCATTGGCACGAAATCCCCTAGATCCGGAAAGGACGATCACGTTTACTGACTGGTCCGGATTATCCCTGCTGACTTCACTATTACCCTACTCGGGGGTAACTGACCATACAGAAACACCGCTGTCACCCCGGCAGATTGTTAAGCGCGATGCTAATAATAGCTTATCAGCCGGCGCCGAAAACCACGATAATTCTGTTCCTTTTCTACAAGACGTTCCTCCTGTTGGTGGCAAACGACAAGAGTCGAACAGTTACAATAACAAAGATCAACATCAACACCAGCAACAAGCGAACAACAGCTGCAGTAGTGAGCATGAGGCATTCAACAAGAAGGACACCATCGTGGCGCTCCAAGGAGCGAGCCTAATCGACCGCAGTAGTAGCGCTGGTCGCTATGGCTGCGAAGGCGGTAACGGAACCGCACGGAATAGTTTAGCTTGCGCCACTGCGGCGAGCACCACAAAGAAATCTTCAAGTTTGCGACAACACAGACAGGCGAGCTTCGGGCCTTTGTCCCTGCCAAGGGACCGGGCAAACTCGGCGGCCTATCTGCGCAACTTGAGATTGCAGCGGGGCTCGCTTACCTACCGGGGAGCCATGCTCAATATTAAAAGGTAAAAAAAAAAAAAAGAAATTACGTTGATGAAGGTAACACGATGGAATCGTTGTTTGATTTAAATCAGGTGATATAGGCTATGATTGGACCTTGAGTAGATAGAAAAAAAACCCTGGTATTTTTAGGACTGACCGGTACGAGGGCTGATCATGCACGATTCTGTCGTCCGAAAAATGGTCATATAGGGTATCGTTGTTGAGACATGATAACATACGGAAATGCTGTCGGGTTTAGATTGCTTTTATCTGACATTGTGCTGTATGCGTTTTTAGATACCGTCTCAAGGCTTCTAGCTGCCCGAATATCTACCGAAATTCAATGGCGACTATCAACGAAAGCGAGTCTAGTCCCTGTGAATTCTTCAAGGATCTGAAAGACGTCGTATGCGATATGATGGATGTCAGACTATTAACGAATTTCAAGTGAGTGACAGTATAGTCTTGAGTACAAGTGCCCTTTCAAAAGCAAAAGTCTTTTCCTAGTGTTGCACTCAACTCAAGAGCGCCTTGTTTCATACACAAAACATCGGTCGCACACATGACCGACAAATGTAGTATACGAATGTTCTTATGCACACGATTGTGTAGTAGTAGGCAGAAAGCCAGTCGCTGGGAAATCGTTTATTTCTTTTTCGCGCTTCGAGTTTCCATCAACAGCGTGGTTGATGTCGCCGCGAGCGTCAGTGGTATAGCGTAATGGGGAACTCCCTCTGCCATAGCTATTACGATTACTATTCCCTTTACTATAATACATTCGTACGTCCGTTTCCTCCGAGTCGTTTCTCCCAGCAGCCTTGATACATTTTCTTCGTCTTTTTTGGTCCGGTTTTCCTTTAATTGTGGCCTCCATTTCCGAAAGTCATCGAACAAATCGTTGCCTTTTCCCCAGAGGACAGCGATCTTCGAAAACACACCTTTTCTGGTACCTAAGATGTGCAACCTTTTCGCCTCTCAGTTACTTTGCCTTCCCTCTATCTCATGCTTTTCATCCCGTTCTTGCTATCGAATATTAGTAGACTGAACAACGCCGGCGAAATATAATAAAATTAAGTATATTTTTGTAATTTTTAAAGCAATTATCTGTAGTGGGAGTATCTAAAGTTCCTTGTACTATAGCATGTAGGAGTTCCACACCTGGTTACAGTCGGCGACTCAACAAGAGTATTGACAGCTTGACAACCCCTCGTACGTGTACTGTCTCTGTTCAACAGGTACGCACTATTCTGCCTGTCAAACTTTCTCCTAAACGCTTGTGTGGACAATCCGTATGTATACATCCCGGATCACGCGGCTTCGCTACCTTCGATCCAGGAAGGGTCCGGGGCATTTATCATCTCAATTGTCGGCGTACTTAACACACTCGGCGTTGTCATCGTCGGCTATGTCGGCGATAAACCCTGGATAGACCCGAGCTTGCTCTATGCCCTTTGCACTATAGTAGCAGGTGCAAGTGTGGCCACAATACCGCTGTTCAGCTCCTATCTTCCGCTGGCTACGGCCTCAGCAATTTACGGGTTCACGATATCTGCTAACTATACGCTTGTACCAGAGATTGTCGTCAACTTAATATCGCTCGACAACTTTACTGGCGCCTATGGCCTTCTGCTGCTCATCCAGGGCATTGCTGGCCTCATTGGACCGCCAATCGCAGGATGGCTCTATGATATCAGCGGTAAGCGGAACATGATGATCGTAAGAGATGGCAAGAAGGAAAGCACTTGTTTTCGACAGGTCCCTTTAATAGTCAGCTTTAGCCTATCGATGTATCCTGTCAGAGCGTAAAGGGAAAAGCGGCTGTACATAGTTAGCATCTGTATTTTTCTCTTCAACGGATTGGTTTTTTCGTCAACATATCCGTCATAGTGAAAGAATTTCAGCTACCGGCTCTGGTTATTCGTAGAAGAAGCCACACGCGACACTATGATTCTTTTTGTGGCTTGTTTTTCCATTCGTCTTCTATTACTGATTTTCTAGCGAACATTTGGCAAACAACAATTGTGAATCATATCGGCTATTGTCGAGGTACCGCTAAGAATTTTCATAAGTTCACTCTAACTTTTTTATTTTTTTTTTTCTTTATACAGGATCTTATAATACGACCTTCTATATTAGCGGACTGAGCATACTAGCTTCCGGTGTCCTGGTCATTCCTGTGGCACAGACATGGAAATGCGCATGTAAAACCGAGTCAGAAGATGGCTGTGAAAGTGACCTCAAGGACAGTCATAGTGAGCTTCGGGACCCAGAAACGCAATCATGCCTCGGGCGAAAACACGAAGTTCTATCGACCGGACCTCCCCAATCGTCGCGTTCGTCGTCAATCGTAATAAATGGGGTCCCGCTCAATACATCGGTGATCATCAAAAACGGTGCCAATGGCTACGCTACAGGCATCTCCCCTTCACTTCGAAGTCCAGGCAGTCCCTCGAAGGCAAACCAAGTACGATTTAGCTTGAGAAACGATTACGATAATGATGCCGAACTCCGAGCACCTCTAGCGACTCCGGACTCGCCTTAAGATAGGCCATGAGAAGGCTATTTGTAGAATACGACGAAAGTTCCCGCCTTTTGCGGCAAAATACGCTTCCAGGAAAATCCAGGTGCACGATGTACTTAGTCCACGAAACGGCGGGGCAGAGCGTTGTCACATCGACGAGAACTTGACAACGTTCTCAGTTTTATTCTGTGATAGAACAACACTACACTTTAAAATAGACTAATATTAAAATACATAAAGGAAACGCTGACGGCGATAATATAATGCTATTAACGATGTAACTAAAAAAAACCTATAATCTATAAAAGAGAGAGAGACAAAAAGTCTGTTTGTCCCACACGAAGTACGTGTGTATGACGGTTGTTGTTAAAGGCAATATTCCGAGGATGAATACCGTCCTAAGATAACTATAATTCCGACTAAATATCAAAACTAGTAATGCACGAAGCAACAAAATATTGTAAACAACAAAAGACACCTATAGATGCATGCAAACACACATACATATATATGACATAAATATATCTACAAATCATACAACGGAGGGCGGAAAGACACCTAAACTCTAGTCTAATTATAAAAGTAACTATACTGAAGGCGAAGATAAAGGAGTAGAGAAACATCTTATTGGGCGGGATGGGGGATTCGGGGGCATAATGATGTGACAGGAGCGGTAGGATTCGTTTCGGTCGGGGAAGAAGAATTGAGCGAGTGAGAAAATCGGACATGCAGATGAAAAGCTAGGCGATGGCGCTGATGATGATGATAACCACGAAGACGACAACATTGAATTGACGGTATCGATGTGAAAATGAAAGTTATAGTAAGTAATGCTAGCACGCAGCTGATGACGCCGTAGCAATTTGATAGTTGGCGTCCTGCCTTACATAGTGCAGCAACGAGACGCAGCTTTGCAGCTATCACAGGATTGTTATTGATATTCTTAACGAAAACGGCAAAGTGTCCTAGGTCGGTTCGTGATAATGGCACTTTCATATACGATACGCCACAATAACTTGTTTACTAAGCTTTGCAGAAACTTTGCTCTGCTATAAGATAACAGTGCTAAACTTAATTTTTCCTTGCGATTATTGGCTATGTTTAGTATCAAATTAGAGGATCTGCTGCATAGGTAATGAAGATTGGAACGAGCGTTTTTGTTGCAGCTTGTATTACTATGCCAAAAATGGCTATGCAAATCTTACGTACATGCATACAAACCGTATGTACTCTTGCACGCACCAGCTCATTCCTGTTGCCATCCTTTCCTCTTGTCATATTATAGATATTAAACGTTGTGCTCAGATCTATTTCCGGGCCATTGGGTAGCCTCTTCAATAACTGTTTGAGTTCCGAAATACGGAAGGAAGTACAGCGCCTGTGAAACTTCGCCCCGTCGTAATGGATGCGGCAATTAACCCTACAGTCGTTATGATAAAATGCTGTTCCGCAAAGCATTGTATTGTTGTGTATTTATATTTGCTATTTATGTTCACGCCATATGTCATTCTACTTAAATATGGAAACAAAACAGGTTTTCTGTGACATATGTCATTATGTTATGTGCTTAGTTACCAGAATGATGGACTGTAGCCGTGAGTTTCTACATCAACACGCACACACACACACACACACACACACACACACACACACACACTACACACACACACACCCACAGACATAAATATACCTATAAAAAGTAAGTTTGATTTTAGCAATTAAATAACGTAATTCTTCACTTATTGAACACCGTGGCGTTTCTTCTACCGTCTTCTTGTCTTGCGTGTGATTCCATTGTAAGAGCAATATATCTCTGCCTAATAATAGTGATTGCAATCGATAACGATAGAAATAATAATGGTAAGCATGACGTCCAAGCTTAAACTTGCTTCTCTAGATATTCATTTAACAAAAGCTCTGTAGTCGATGCCAAATGTTAATGCCTGGCTGGTTTGTACGATTTCGAACGAAAGGAAAGCCTAGTTACTAGTATTAACTATTACAAGGCAAATTGGTAATCTTTCCTATCATTATCGTTACGGCTAGAAGAAGATGATGATGAGAAACATGGCGGAAACAAATTCAACAGTCACTTCTTGTAGCATAGACATAACATGATATAATGGTCTATCTGAGAACACTGAGGTGATCTGAGTGAACTGACACGTCTAGCCGAACCATTTCACTACGCAAACGATCGGCGACGAAATGCAACAAAAATTTTAAGGATTGCACCATCCACAAGCAGCTCAGATGGAAGTTACAGTTAAAATGGTTAACACCTACAATACGAACAGGCAGCAATTTACTTAGCATAACTTATATGAACTACAACGATCGACTGTAGAACGACCCTGCATGGAACAACTTCAGTTAGCGACATACAGATAACTATCAGCTACCTTCTAACAGTATTATTCATTGACAATTATCTTATCAAGTATAGAATAACGCATATATGGCTTACGCAATTTGATTTCAACAGGAGGAAATCAGGTTAGTCAGAGTGATAATAGGGAATCAGTCTTCATGGCATGACCATATGTATCAGGAACCGATCGGGGAACACGAGGCAAGCCGAGCAGAACACGGCTAAACATTTGATTGCAACTTTCTCTCTCGTTCATAAATTCTTATGTGTACTTAACTAGTAGTCACAAATGTGACATAGCTAACTATGAGGCTTTCGCATGAATAACATTTTTACTGGCGCCACCTAGCGGAGAAGCAATTTTCCCATTATTAATAGTACCTTGTTTGTTTCGTTTCACGTACCGCAATATATCGTACGCCGACAACGGGGTTTAATAATAGTAGCAGTAGCAATAGGCTGTACATATATATAAACGTAGCTCTCTTTATTAATGCGCTTTTCTTTATTGTACATACGCGTACTGTATAGCGTTCAGACGACTCGCATTTTGCGGTATTATAATGGTCGCACTCGCTTAGGGCCCAGGAAGGGCACTTGATCATTCGACTAGCTGTGGCATAGTGCTACGAGCGTAATATAAACACACAGTAATCTAGCGATTTTCTATATTTCGAGTTGAAAAGCAAAAAAAAAAAAAAAAAAAAGATCAACATCTTATATCACTATTACTATTTACGACATTAGAATACTTCTAGAATACATTAGAGTTAACGGTGCCGTGGCCGCTAAACACCAAAAAAAGTCCCACAGCTTATTTTCGTCAGATCTTAAGCTTGCAATTACGTCAGCTGGGCACGTCTCGTCTCTGAGGCTCATGTGTACGAGGCAGCGTATATTACTTATTATATTCCCTTCTTTATTGCTTCGGACCGCAGCCGTCATTTCTGACAGAGGGAAAATGCTAATAACATCAACTCTGGATTGTTCGACTTGCTTTGTAAGCATTTATAATGCTACGCCGCGCGCTTTACGCACAGCCAATACGAACGTAAACTTTTAGTCTCTATACAATGGCCATCGTATCGGACATACGCAATCAGTAACAGTTCGCTACCTACAGCTCTTCAATATTATTACGCCGAATATTCCAGATATAAGCTAATATCTCGCTCTATTTGAACTATACAGATATTTACGAGATACTATTATTATTGTACATTATTGCTATCATTATTATTACTTCTACATGTATATAAATATTTCTAACACAGAAACACATTGTAATACGGCCTACATTAGCATGCCGAATCGTCATATACCTTCGTATGCATCCCACATGTACTGAGGACCGAACGCAAAAACTGAACGGATAGGATCGGAAGACATGCAACAGACGTCTTTGTCCTGCGGCATTAAGGAGAAAATACTTGGTATTCATATTAACTATTCCGATCTCAAAAGGCAGTTATGCACAGAACACAGAAATACAATCGAACAAATGATCACGGAGTATTTCGATTTCTTGGTTCCCTAGAGTCTTCAAGGATGAAGAGTCCAGTGTTGCTGGATTGTTACTGTAGGATGCAGTCACATAGTTCTGGATACTTGCTAATGGACTGATGCTTTAGATATATGATCATATTAGCTAAAATACAATAAACATTATACTGTTGTTATCAAGGAAGGCGTCCTGTATCCACATGTGTTGCCTTTGCCAAAAAAAAGTATGACAAAATAAACTGTCTAAGATCACGAATCATGTAGGAATTGTTGAACTGTTGATTTTTTATTTTTATCTATTTCTTTTTTATTCTAACTCTACTAGCTCATGGGTTCGACAAAAGGTGCGCTGGTTGTAGTGGTCGATTGAAACCGGTATTTCAGGCACGTGTGAATACGCGAAACAAATCAATTTACAATCCTAGATTCCTTCAACTGAGTGTTTAAAAAAAAAAAGACTGCATTTTACTAATAATAGCTATAAAACAAATAAAGCGATTCATATGCAGCTTCCATTTATTTGTATACATGCAGTCGATAGAAAATTCAATAGTCATACTGGGCCTGCTTTTCCTAGGCGACTGGTTTCAAATAGTCATACATAGAAATATCATATAAGGGTTAAACATGAAATAAAAACAATTTAGTAAAAAAAATTATTGACTGGACCTCTGCATTCATACCGGACATAAATATCCATGCCTAGATCCAACTTCGAAAACCACAACCTGGTTAGAGGAACCGGTAAAGTTTTGAGATTATATATGCATGTTATTGCAAACTTAGCGTAAAATCCTACTACTTTATGGATACGTTATGTTCGGGTCATGTCTGCCGTTTCATCTGTTCAACACTGCGAGTTAGAGTTGGGCCAGAACAAGTTACCAAGTGTAAACGGTACCCATCTAAGAACATATATATGAAGGGCTTTTGCGCAAAACGAATTCCTGTTTATTTTGGCTAACATAAAGATAATAATTTTTCTTTTTTTTTTTACGCGCAAAGTAAATGATGAAGCTTAGCTAGCTACTGATTTTTTTTTTCATTATAAGATTAAGTTTGGCAAATTTCGCTTTTTGTAGTTTCTGCGATAGTACCAAGTACTGACACAGAGCTACGCCCTTTTGCAGGAAAAGCCCCAGAGTTAGCCACTTTTGTTGTCTTTTTAATTATTCGTTCAAGTTACGTTACAGTTTCTTTGTGACTTATTGTCAGACCGTACGGGGCATCAAGGCTGCTTAGAAGCTACATGTAGCTAGGACTGTGCTTTAGGCGACTTTGTACGGAACACCCTATCCGCTTCCTCCTTTTGTTAGTTTCTAAAGTGTTCACAATGTGAGTCCCTTCGTCAGCGGCCGCAAGAAGATTCTGGATTTTTTTAATAACATAAAAATAACAAAAGCTTACTTGGACTTTTTTAGTCGAACTTGTTGTGCACACATTTATTTGGAAAATGTTTTGTTCTTAACCTGTATCTAGAAACACTTGTTATGTTAGCATACAGACAAGTGGTTACGTGTTAGACTGCCGTCGTGTGTTTAGGCAGTGCTTACGAGTAAAAATTTGTGAATAGATTTTTCGGTATATTTACGTCAGAATAGAACCGGCAGGGTTAAGTTCAATCAAACTTGTTCAGTAAGATGTAGACTAACTTTTGCCACTTCAAAACGAAATTTCTACTACAGTCGACACAAAAGAGTAAATAGGTAATGAAAACGTGGGTCATTCGAACAGCTTAACAAACTAATTAACTAACCGAGAAATCTGAATTAGTCTATTTGTATGAATATCGTATACATGTCTGACACCGAGGTGCTTAGATCACTACTATTATCCAGTGTCAGTTCAAATTATCTAGAAGCGAGATTCCTGAGCGCGAAGATACGGCCATTGTAGCAAAACTTGATTATCACAGACGGAAATAGGAAAACAAAACAAAGTGCGTGGAAGAAATGCGTGCAGCCGCATCGCGAGAACAGTCTGAAGCTATGTACGCTCGTAGAGTGGCGGCAAAAAGAACCACGATTTCAAACATATGATGTGCTAAACAAAGGCAGGACCAGAACAGGGAAAAGCATGCCATTGTCATCATTATTATGACGATGATAACACCGAAATGATAAAGGAGCCACGACAATTATGGAGGCATCTACGGAATACCAGACGCCAAAAGAAAGAACGGGGCTACCTGACAAACAAGCAATGGTCAGGGCTGAACTCTTCATAACACAAGTTCATACTGCTCTGGTATTAACGAGCGGCTCCGCTAACAAGCTTTGCATGGACAGTGATCGAAAACCCGAAGCCGAAACACATTTTTAGGTAAATGGAGACGGCACAGAGTCGGTAAGAGACGACATTGTTTTACCTCGTCGCTGTTACGTTCTTCTTCTTCTTCACAACGTTCCTCCTGCGTATCGCTTCACAACGGCCTTGTCATTCGTGTAAAGCTACCCCGTTTAAATGCGTCGCGGGTCGCTGCATTTTTTTGAATTCGTATATATTTTTAATGACGATTTGTCGACGATGTAGACTTTCGAAGCTCTTTATTATGTCACGATTCAGCTTTTCTTGATTATTACAATCGTTCGTGCAAATTTAATTTTCCATTTTCCGTTGATTGTGCTCTAAGCTTTTACTTTAAGTTTGTAGTTGTTTTTGTTGTTCATAGATGTTACTATCAGCGTCTGCTCCGTCAGACATATTTGCATGACAAAATCAACAGGGAGACAGCTCTGAACCGCCGAGGTTGCAATATGATGTATTGCATTGTTCCAATAATATGTCGGAACATGAAATGCGACGACGGATGTCTTACGACAAAGCTGGATTTTACGACTTCCTATTACAGTTGTTGTGTGATTTTACTATGTGATACAATAAATATGCACTCTATGGTAACTATAATTATCATTTTTGTAGGTACTAGTTTTCACTCTTTGTGAGCAATTGTAACTTTTTAATTGAACCTAGTTGGGTAGTTAATCATGTAATTGGGTCGTTTCTAGGAAACTTAATCTGTCATCTTGGCTGCTGTGTCATTTCAGCTAATTTGTGACTTACTTAACGTGGAGTTTTGTCAGCTTCGCTTACAGCGATGGCAGTATGATTTTACCTTTTTCTATTTTTTTTTTTTATCCAACTCACGCAAGAAATACGTTTTACTACAGGAGCTACTTCAGCGTTAGGATGACTGGAAGAAAAATTCTCATAGCCGTAAGATTAGTTCTCCTGAGAACTTAACCTCAAAATAGCTTTTTCTAAAAATTAGCTCCGAAATGTGTCCTCCTAAAACTTACATTTCAAGGCTCTTTCGAGCTTGTTTGAATCACCACCTACTCCATATGCGTGCGAGGAATATCGTGGTTAGTTATAGTTTAACTGCGCATGCGTTAAGATAAAAAAAAAAAGTCATCTGAATCATGGTCCCTTAAACGAACGTGTAATGTAAATTGCCCCAGAATGAGGATCCTTGGATTGTAAGCAAAAAAACTTTCACACAATAGTCACAATAGGTTGTGGTAGGTGCCCTAGCACTTACCAAAGAAATTACAAAGGTCCCCCAATAACACGATTTCGGTTGGTACGGCTTTGGCTACACTTGTACCTTGGTTGTTATTTGTTGTTTTTATTTATTTTCATTTTTTCTAATAATCGATTATGTAAACAGTCGACCTTAGTAGCTCTTCAGTTTCATTACGCATACTTCGGAACTTAATCGTTTAGTGCTAATCTGGACTACGAGTGTCAAAGTTGCTGTTTTAAGATACCTAACATACACAGCGCAGTAGTCCTTACGTTATTGCATAATTATGCGACATACTTATTTTTTTTATATACATTTTATACGTTTGTTGCAGTTGATTCAGCGAGTAGGACCAGTGCCTTACTATACCTAATTGTAACGAAAATTGAAACATCTCGAAAACTTGTATTCAACAGTAGGTGTAGTTTCGAAAGATTAATTAATCTTTCTGACTGGATATTTGAAGAAAATCAATTACGAGGACAGTCGTTCAGAAAATCTGCCATTGGCAACGACAAGATTCCCTAGCAGGAACAATCGATATCAGAAATGCGTGGTCAAATACGACTATTTGCGTAACCAGTTACTTCGAAAAAACGAGAAGACAGTATAGCATCTTCGTGCCGAAACCTTACCAGTCACAATGGTATTATTCTGAAAGAGGCTCGAGGTTTCTTTTCCTATGTGCTAGGCCGTCCACCAAAAATCTCAAGATACTAAAGACTGATTTTCTTGCTTCCGATTCAAGAGTCATCGATGAACATCGTTATTTGCGAACTAGAACTTTCAGTTAGCTAAACCAATCACAGGACTGGTTCTAACATGATTTGTTAACATCGAATTGGAAGCTATTAAAAAAAGTGCGGTGTTGCAGATGACATGCTAGCTTTAGTAACATATGGATTTCTTCAATAAATTTCGAATTAATCATATCTATGTAAATAGTAAAAATGTCCGACCCCAAAAGCGTATATAAAACAGCCGTATAAGCTAATTGTTGCCAGTCGACTCCGGGCTGAGATTTGCGAATGTAGCGTGTCCAGCTATGTCGATCTGCACGGGATAATGCAGCTTCGAGGAGGAGGCTCCGATGAGGAGGCACTGGTCCAAGAGTGGCTCGTCTCCGATCCAGCTGCATAATTCAGACGCTGCCGTGTCACCCCGCCAAGAAGAAAAGCGGGATTGTGGTGGCCTGGTGCCGCTAGTAATGTATGAACAACACCATGCGTTGACGTCATCAAATCCGGGAAGTCTTCCAGGAACAACACGGGATAAATATACCTGTATGGTGCGAGCGATAAATAAATAACCACCTATAGGGTCGATATAAAAATCAAGCCCAATTGTTTTTCATATAATTACATACGTTGCTATTTATTAGATTGCAATCGATATTACAATTACATTATATACAACCGCTCGCCAGGAGCGACTATCAAAGGGCAGCTCTCGACAGATGCTGCTGCTGCTGTAGATTTAACCTCCTCCCTCGTTTTCTCCTCCCTCGTTTTCTCCTTAGTGTTTTCTCTCTTTTTGTTTCTCCTCGTTTTTAGAGGAGAGAGGAGATTTTGTTTTCATTTGCGCATTTACTGGCCTATTGGTCGTTTTATTAAAAGAGATTTATTCATTTGCATTTACTGGCCTGGCCTCTACTGGTTTGGGGTTTCTTCAGCTTGCCCTCCGCCATCCGACATAACACCCTTTTCAGAGCGGCGCCACAGCACTGCATATAAGGGGAGAGCATGCTCTTGAAACGTGGCTTTAGCACCGGCTTGGCATCGACGTACGGAATCTTCGTGCATGTGTACTGCACGTAGCTCATAATTGCTAAGCTTAGATCATCATCGACTCACATTAAGTGGGGCTGTTGTTACTATTGCCGGCGGTCAGCGATTTGTTTCGGGCTCTGATAATTTAACGAGAGCGTCATATCCCATATTTACTGTAAATGTGTACATGAATCCGTGGTGTTTTGCCGTCTGTATCGATCATAAAACGTGGTGTAGTTGGAACTACAGCTCTGTGGGGTTAAACAGGTTATCGTGAGCTCAGTGAAAGCTATAGTGTTGCTGTTGTTGTCGGCGTCGGAATAGTTTACTTAGGACCATGCCTTACTGAATGCACCAGACTTGCGGTCCGTAGCCGGCGGAGTTACCCCTCTGTGCTCGAGTCGACTTTTGGAGCGATACTTATCGAGGTAGCTTAGCTGCTTTGCGTTGAACGCACCCCGACCTCAGGCAACTCATTGGCTCTTAATATATTTACTGGCCTATTTTTTGTGTTGTTTCATTGGCCTTTTAGGTTTCTCCATTTTCTTGTGTTGTTTCGTTGGCCTTTTAGATTTCATTCTCTTCATATTCGGGATTGTTTCATACGTTTGGCAACGTTTGTCAATATATTTACTGAATATACTTACTGTGGCCTGTTTATTGTTTCATTGGCCTTTTAGAAAGTGGCCTGTTTATTGTTTCATTGGCCTTTTAGAAGGTGGCCTGTTTATTGTTTCATTGGCCTTTTAGAAAGTGGCCTGTTTATTGTTTCATTGGCCTTTTAGAAGTGGCCTGTTTATTGTTTCATTGGCCTTTTAGAAAGTGGCCTGTTTATTGTTTCATTGGCCTTTTAGAAAGTGGCCTGTTTATTGTTTCATTGGCCTTTTAGAAAGTGGCCTGTTTATTGTTTCATTGGCCGTTTAAAAATTTCCTCATATGCAGGTTTGTTGATACTCAACGTTTGGCAACTTCTGTTAATATATTTACCTCTTAATTGTCGCTGTGTGTTTCTGTTAAAATTCACTGGTCTTGTTCTTTAATTACTGGCCTTAGGAATCGTTGTCGGCTTTATTTCTTTGATGTTGGTTTTTTTTGATAAGTCACGATGTTTTTATTTGTCAGTCACGATTTTCCTACACTACGTTTATACTTGTCAATCACGATCTTCATACGCGTGAAGGGAGAGAAATTAAAAAATTTACAAGATACCAGGATCACAAATTAAAATGCCACGATTTAAAATTTACACCCAATGTATTCTGGAGTTTACATATCCATTTCCTACTATCTAGTATTTGTTATTTTTGTTCAACCATCCTTTTATCTACACGACATGTTTCATGATATCGCTCAAACGTGTCGTACTTCAGCTTCAGACACATATGGTATGTAAGCTACAATTTTTTGTCATTGAAATTCATTTTTTTAAGTCCGCCAGTTTTTTGTTACTGTCTGTATCAAGATCTAATTATTGAAAGTAGACAATTTTTAGGGTTTTCTCATTCCCTAATCATTGTCGCCAAGTTCGTAGCTGTGTCGCTTCTATGCAGCATACTGATCTGTTCATCCTATATGAACTTGCTGAAGTTGTTCCGAAGTAAAGCTATGCAAGTAAAAAAAGCGATGGCCAAGGCCGATGATTTCGCGCCGTGTAGCGCAGAATCTGGGTCACTTATTCTTCCATCCGTGATCTCACGTTCAAGTTGATTGTCCACGTCGTTGCAGGACTCGGCGCATTCATCCTCGACACAAATGTCGCAGATCCGAGCCTGAAAGTGAACAAATTAAAGCTTGAGCGAATCGAAATACGCTTAAAAAAAGCAGGAAAGGTAGCCAAACTCCAGTCCGAACGAACTTGAAGCCGAAAATTTCATAAGCAAGTTCATATTGCCTACTGAAAAAAAAAGTCCGCTTGAAGATATATGAATTTGATTTTAATGCGTGATGAAAATGTTATTAGATAATGCATTTCCGAAAACTGTGATGAAAACAGCATACTTTCTTTGGATTATAGAATATTCTCGACGATTTCGCAAGGTCATAATAGTCATAAATCTTGACGGGCGCAGGTCGCTGGTGTGCCACTGAGAACTCTCGATGAGCTGGCACTGTAACGCAGAGCTCCCTTTTCGTGACTCGATCAAAGTAAATTACAACGTTCGTGTCCCCATCATACGATTCGACGCGACGTACATCGTTCGTACGGTGAATCGAGCTTAGCGTATCATAGTCGAATACGTAACCTGATGGTAGGCCAACCTCCATGACGGCCATGTTACTCGAGTTCCCCTCACCTCGATAGTGTGTGCACACAGAGAGCTGCATATAGTTTTCTGTTGAGGTCTTGTCTAAAAGCGGGTTGAGATAGAATGCCGGCTCTTCCGAAGACACCATTAGGTTAAATTGCCACGATACCTGGACAATCGCCGTACCGAAACCTGTCGCCTCAATCTCAACCCATTTGAGTTCTGGTGGCAATTCAAGCTTCTGCAGGATGAGCGCATTTCGCGATTCGATTCGAAGTGTACGCGAGCCACCGATTTCACCAAATTTGATTGTGGCATCGATTGAGATCGTCGAAGACGCGACAGTGGCTGCAATTTGCGACAGAGCCTCAATTGCGATAACGGTATCCTGTGTCGAGGTAAAGCCTCCGTTGCTATTTTGTTGACTAATCAACCATTGCATAACAGGGATTGCCTGACTGTTATCGCCCCGATTAATGAGTGTTAGCAAAGCATACGCTGTCATTTCGATATCCTTGAAGTGGCGCTTAAAGAACAAGTCTGTCTGATGTAGCTCGTAATCGGTGATATTGTGTGTGACAGCTGGATCTTTCCAGTATATGTGCTGATCATCGGTAGTCCTCAACGCCTTGAGGCGTGAATATGCCTGATCTTTATTGGAATTATTTGATATATGCAGTGTATATGTGATCAACGCCGTGACATAGGGATCTCCGGTGGTTCTAAGCTCGCGCAGAAGGTACTCCTCTGTCTGACGGATGTGGTCGGGATAGTCGTTTCGAACGCCGGCTTCTGACAGAGCGATTAGGACGTACGCCGCCAAGGCAGGACCACTGCCAGCGGCGGATTGCATCGGTTTATAGACAACCTGACCCGGTTCGCGGAAGCTTCCATCGCCTTGGTGCTGCTCCATAAGCCACTTGGTTGCGTTCTTAATGACGTTTTCGTCCACGCTAATATACCTGCAAGGTCACAAAAGAGAACAGCGGTTAATTACGCTAAGTTCAATTTAGTCGGTCCGTTCCCGAACGTAGCGTGTTCTTTTCTGACAATTGCCAAACCGCAAAATAATTCCCCCCTTAGTAAGAGACAGCAAGAAACCAAAAACTAATGAAACGTACTCAGTCGCGTGTGCGAAGGATTTTAGGACAAATGCTGTCAACCAGGTGCTGCCCGATTCGTCGGTATTTCCAAACGCGGAAAACGATCCGTCATCATGTTTGTATGTGAGCTGCTTCTGGTAGCCATGCTCAATATTTCGTCGAGCCTGAGCCTCCAAATGTGGACTTAACCGATTGGAAGCCTTTAGATAGTTGAGAATGACGATATTTGGGACGAAATCTAACATGTTCTGCTCGCCGCAGCCGTGAGGCATATTCAGAAGTCCTTGGAGGTTGTTGACAGACGGTCCGAGGATATCCCCCACCGCGGTAAGGTACACCCGTTCAGAACCAGGTACAGCGTTCTTCGGAAAGGTCACGGTCACATTGTACTTCGAAGGCGCTGCCTGAGAATTACGACGTTCTGTAATGAATACATGTTGAGATGACGTGACAACGGTTAAATATTGTAGACCTTTTGTATTTTTTTAGCCTACATTTCTCTTACCTTTACCCGAACTACTGTGTTTCTGAAAAGCTATAAAATATCATTATTAAAAAACAAAATGTGATTCGTAAAAAAGATTTCGCAATCTTCGTACCAAGTAGGATAGCCTTATTGAAGTGCTGCGTCGATCCTTCCGGCTGAACAAGCAGTTTTTTTGAAATGGAGTCGCCTCCATAGCCGTGACTAGCTGTTACCTTGATGTCAATATAGCCAAGCTTCGTCGGCGTGATCAAGAATGTCACAGGTGTACCGTTCTGGGGCTGAACCGTTACCCGTTTACGATCGGGTTTCGAAGCAGCAGACGTGAACACAAAATCTTTTCGCGTGTTGTCAAGGGTTACGTCAGCTTCAATTGCCTTGTTTCCATAGTTAAAGACGACGCACTGAACAGCGATTGCTTCATCACGTTTCACAGAGTATGGAAGTGAAACGGTTACGAAGAACGGCCTGAAAGTCGTAACCTTGGCAGGTGTCGGAGCAATTCCTAAGCCTGTGGCCTGATCCATAGCGAAGGCAGTTATTACCCATGAAGTGATCGTGTCTGGAATTATCTCCGATATGACAGCACGGCCATCCGAGCTGAAAAAGCCATTTCTATCGTCATTTAATATAACAAAAAAACCATTACATCATTTGAACAGAGTTCATGCAGTCGTATTTAGATTAACAGTGAAATCTATTTTTAATGACACCTCTATTTTTAATCGACGTTGAATTAATTTATAACAAATATAATATAAGTTCCAGATCACATTATCTAAATTAGTCGGTTAACTTAACGTATTCAAAAGCAAATTCAGAAGATATTTGAAACTTAAAGATAAGTAAAGATTATACAGAACAGTGATTATTTTAATAAAATAGAATTAATTAACAATTTGTAACGATAATTACGTGTACGAATAACATCAATGTTTGCAATTATTATGATGCACTACTCGCTGCTGTCAGCCCTGGTAACCAGCAACAAATAATAAACAATTAAGGCGTTCGCGGAACACAATGTTGACGTCGGATAATTCCGCTGCGATAAAATTGTACCTGTGATACTGTAGCAATAGTGATAATACAGTACCACGTAGGTACCAATATACCAAATAAGGGACACTAAGGGATATACGAGGAGCATGCTTGTACGGACACGCAGGCTGGCTCAGGCTTAAAACCGGGTGCTCACACACTTTGTTTCACGTTGGAAGAATATTTGAAGTAATGTGTGCACGTAGAACTCGGAAATATTTACCCTAGATAAAAAGGAACCTACTCGAACATGATCTTCGTTACAATATTTGTCCTCCAGCGGTACTTAGATAGCTAGGTTTATGGGGTATGTCAAACTAGCTGACTAGGCCGTGTAAGTGCGATAACACAGTGGCGTGCAACTTAAGTTAGGTAAAATTCACAGTCTCTATGGGAATTGATTTGTTTAAAGCGTTCAAATTATGGCGCGCAAAATTGTAGGTACGTTTTGGCAGTCACAACCCTCCAAGTTTTTGAAACTCGATGTCGGCCTAGCTTATTACGACTCACTTAAGAGGGCACGACTCTGTATGTACTTCCCAGTGCTTCGAGATGGGACGAATATGTTGCACTTACTGTTGGCCCAGTTAATAAATACTGTATGTAGGTTATGAATTGCAATATTTTTCCGAGGCTTACAAATGTTCGCCCGCTAGGAGTTTGCTCAATGAACGTCGCTGTGTAGCTTATGGTTCGGCTCGTTTAGTGGGGTGTTTCTACAGACCTCGTCGTCACGTTGTTCCATATCCATGTCTCAGGAAATCGGGAACGGAGCCGGATTCGGCCTGGCACCACATCGGGTGCCTCAGGCAGCCCCGACGGCGGTAATGGCTGGTTCGTTAACACGTTCGTGTCTAAGCGAATGCCAGGTCTGCGGCCTTCAACTGTGCACACGTATAGGTCAGCGCAAGTACAAAGGACGATGACGCAGCGGTACACAGGGAAAAGACATTGCGGGATCGGTCAGACACGGAAATCTATAATGCTGTACTATTCATGCCGAAAAGCAGAATAAACACTGAAACATCTCTTCCAAAGCAAATCAATGGGTATTGAAATTGGCTTATAGATTTAAGCATCGGAGTTAATGAACAAGCTGGTACTGATGGTAGTAAGTAGCATAAACAGCTAGTTCATACAGATTAAGTTACCTTGATAGAATAATTATTTTGAAAAAACCATTGAACTGCTAGTATTATGGACTTCCTCTATGGCAAATTGATGGATTAAGCAACACAGGCCTGGAAGGTTCGGGCAAAAGTGTTTCACCGACGGGTACCCGTAGCACACCTCAATAGAGATTGTGATTGATGCGTTTAGTATTTCGAAAGGCAGGCATTGTTGTGTGATGTAAGTTCAGTGAGGGGAGTACCGTGTTCTGCAAAAAAAATCCGTATAATTTTAACATGTTTCGTTTAGTTGTATGTGAGTTAGGTTTTGTTTGTATGTTGAAGTTATGTCGCAGATGCAAGTCGCAAAAGTCGAACTTGTGAAGCTCATGATGTTATTATAACTTGTGCGATAGACCATGGTAGTTGGGGTGAAGAAAATTCGAATTCGTTAGCTAACTCTGCCGCTTCACCAGGGCTGACAGATGGCCGAGGAGGTCACGCTTGACGCCGATGAGACTACCAAGTAACGCCGAGTAGCAGGTACGTTGAGTAATTGGACTACCAATTATTAAAGCCAATTATTAAACTGCCACACGATCGGAAAGCAATTTATAGAAAAGAAGTCATCTTGATGAAACAACCAGGATACCTGGATGTGTGGTCTTTCCATAGCCATGTTTCAGCGAAGTTCTTCCTCAAGCGGACGATATCGGTCATGCTGTTGGCAAAGTTCGAGTCGAGGTGGGGTTCATAGGAGGTGATCTCCTCTATTGGAACAGAATCAGTCTCTGTCGTTTGAAAGTCGTGCAACTCCGAGCGGAACTGGGCTAAAGTTTAATGGGTTAACACTCGTAAGTAATAATGGAAGCAATAGAAGTAGTAGGACAGCTAGTGCTAGTGTCCACAAATGAGCAATACGGAAAAATACTTATTGAAGCTGCAAAGGGAAAACGTTTTGTTATTCGACTCTTTTTAATTTAAGTAATAGCGAGGATAAATTTTTAAGAAAGCGAACTAGCTTATCATAATTACAACGTTGTTAATTAGCGATAAAGCAGCTAAGTGCGTAAAGTTCCCAGTGAGATTATTATGCAAATTAGTATATGCTGCTACGTCTCATTGTTAAAGCGTTTCCACGTAAACGTACGTAAGTTAACTCAGCCGTTTTTCTTACAAGTATAAGTTAAAAGTAGTTTTTACTGAAAACTCGCTGTTTTTTTATTTTTCATACTATATGGTGGCCCGCCTTCTAAGCTAGATTTGTGAGATGTTTCTATTTAAATGCTTTGTTATTATAACTTTAAAAGCTGTCCTACATACCTTCATCCTGTTCAAATAGGAATCCATTCGTTAGAATGATCATGCCAGCGTCCTTAAACAATGCGCCAGCAGTGTACGATCCGGGATACCAGATCGACCTCCTCCGTCGACGACGATAATATTGCGGCCACACCTTGGCCTTCTTACCGGCGTCATAGCTTTCTAATTCCTGCACAACTTGCTGCTCCGAAAGGTCGTTGCCAGTTCGCAGAAGCAACACGCTCTGATCTACTCCAAGGATGCCGACAAAGCTCGACGGGGTGGTTGATACAGTCACTTCTACTCGACTGCCCGGTGACGTCTGTTTCGTGCTTACGGAGACATCAACTGGCGTCCGCAGAATTCCACTTACGTCGAAGTTGACTCCATCGGTGACGATCTCATTGTCCTTACCCACGGTATAAACGACCAGACGTGCTTTTGGCGCTAGCTTGAATGAAGCGGTAAACGCAAAGCGGTATGTGCTTTCATTGCGGAGTGGAATTGTCGCTCCTGTAGCAATACCACCGCGACCCATTACTTGATAGCTGATGTGATCCAGCGGATGTGTCGAGTTCACCTCGAATTCAAGACGATCTCCAACACGAGGGTTTTCCGGTAACATCAGTCTTGCCTGAAGGAATTGGTTCCCAGGTGACTTAGCCGGCATGATTGATTCCAAATAGTAAATTTGCCCCTTGTACTCCGCGTGCATACCGAGCACTACTGTCGTGGGTTTGTTTGGAGGGACAAACTCCAGTCGGATGACTCCGTTCTGAGGTATCCAGTGCTTTTCCTCCACCCATTGTTCCTCGTCGTAGTTGTAGCCGTAGCGAAACGTCAGTTGATTCTCAGGATCCTGGACAGGAGTATCGTCCTGATAAGCAGCTTTGAGCTGAAGCCCACGAAATCATACATTAATGCTAACTTCATTCACCCTATCTTGTCGAAACCAACACGAGATCATGCTAGAGACCAGCAATACTACTATTAATAGGAAGGCGGTATAAGTAATAGCTATAACACTAGGTACTGAACAGCACTTACAAAAGCGGTGTATTTCAGACCGGGCTTGAAAGTATCCGAAGTCTTGACGAGCTCGAAACGCACAGGTTTATCATATATAAACATATAACTGGTGCTATTGTACTTCCTTCCAGTCAGTTCTTCTTCGACGAGGGCAAAAAATTCGATTTCTCGTTGAAAAAAGTCAGTTTTCAACTGCAGTTCTTTGATGATAGTTAGGGGAATGTTCACTTCTCCGTCGATTGGCACTCGCGTCTGGAACTGTTCATAGGGTCGCGGTTTCAATTGCTGATACCGGGACCGCGGAGTTACGGTAAGGGTAACCCAGCCTTTAACTGGCTTACCGTAAGTGTAAGCGGCCTTGACGGTTGCTGTAACTTCCGACTCATTGTATGTTGCATATTTAGGTAGTTCTATCTTAACCTGGAAGGTTGGTAGAACGTACTCAGCCACCTGGAAATTCTTCGAGAACTTTTGCCCGAGCACTTCGCAACGTAGCGTCCAGTCGCCAAGAACAGGATTTTCAGACAGCTCGAACTCGTTACCTAGGACTCCGCGTGTTGTAAACTGTCTTTTCCATGAATGAATCCTATAGAAGTCAACATATGTAGTTGAAAAAATACTATTATAATATGCTCTATCCATCTGAGAGGTCTTTTAGGTATATAATTCTTCATTAGAGTGTCAACTTAGATACAGTTTCACTATTCTCTCTCTATAAATCGGCGTTTGATCAATTATACATAGACAAGTTCCATGAAGCACTACAATTACGAAGGACGCCAACTAGCTAATTGGTTTTTACAATGATAAGATAGCGCCTTTTTTAGTTACTATTCACATTTGCCTAATACGCATACACATTAACACGGTTTAATGCTTGCGAACGAAATACATACTCGTTCTATATTTTGGTATAGGGTAGATCCTCAATAAAATGAAATTAAACGTACATATTACGTAAGCATCCCATAGTTGCTTGAATATAGTACGCTGTAGAATTCGTCCATCGTCTGTTCTAGGGACCTTAAAAACTTGAATCTCCACAGAGTTTTTATATATAATAATAGCGGCTGTAGTTCTGATTACTAAGTTGCCGATGAATTTCATCATCACTTACCTGTTTCCTTTGCCGTCAGTGACCCAGGCGTCGATTGCCCCGGTCACACTCGGCTGCAGGAATGGATCGGTGACAATCATCCGGAACTGTACTCGCTGACCAGGCTTATAAACGGCCTTGTCCGTTTGGATGAACACCGAGTAGCTTTTGTGAACGAAACTCAATTCTGTTTGGTTCTCAAACTGGATCGAACCCGTTCCTTCGGCCTTGAGCGAGTAGTTGCCCGGATTCCAGTCTCCAACCTCAAAGCTAATGATTTCCGTGCGAACTTTGATCGAAGTCAGTATGGAACACACAGTTATTTCGGTATAATCATGGATCATACTGGAATGGTATTGAAATTGACATGAAACATGACCAAAGGTAGTTGTTCAACAGTACTTACGAGGAGGGACTTGCGCGGTCCGTGTAATATAATTAAAGTGGCCACGTTCGTCGTTGCCTTGAATTGAGAGGCGCATATCTACGGGGTTCGGTACGTCTCCGACTGATGCTGCCACGTTGAAGACAACATTTGGCCGAAGAATCGATGGCGCGACAATTGTATAGATACCTCGTTGATTCTGAGCCCCCCTGTAAAGCATTGCAGGCATCACTCATTTTTCGTTATAAATTTAAATAATTTTAGTTGACGACTGTCCTTCAGATAATACTTAAACTAGCCTGCGTAACCTACATTGCTAGAATTGCTCCATATCCCATGTGAGTCCACACCAGCTTACAAGTACTTTTTTGTCCTGCTATTTCTTTTCTGTCAGATAATTGGGTCTCCGATTTTGAAGGAGGAGATCCAGTGATCTGACGCCATCGGTGTCATGTAACTAAGCACGACTTTATTTTCAAATCTGCCGCGAAATTCCACCTGTCTTTGACAGCACCGAGTCCTTTAGATCAAGTCAGTATAATTCAACCAAATAGAGTGGATACGTGGTTGAAAGGGGGAGCTTTAACGTAACTTAAATTTTGCATAGCTTTGTCAATAGTTGAAATCGACACCCAAGCTTGGATTGATAATAGTCCTATTCCACACCAATGTCTACTCCAAGTGTCTGACCATTCAACAGGACATTACCGACCAGGTCGCGCTGCCTTTCTTTAATGTCTTAATTTAAAACGTTCCTCACTGTACCTCACGCACATCGACTGTCGTAAACTTTTTCGCTAGCAATGCCCGACTCGTCAACCTGACAAACCAAAGCTTTCTGTCAAGATAGTCAAGAAGTCCAACATTTCTCAGTTGTAAAGCATAAATGAAACGATCAAACAGGAGAGAGATGGCTGACATCAAAGAAGTGAAAACAATTTGTTAGGCTTCTTCAGCCTTCACTGCTTGCTCTGTCCAGACTTCCTGCGCTTTTTAGCGAATTTTGCACGGACGTCTTTGGTTTCATGTGATAAAATAGGGTATTGCATGCCGGTGATGCTCATTCTTGTGGCTAGATCATAGCAGCTTAAAATTAAGGCCAAACGTGACACGTATATGGAATAATTTTGTAATACTATTCCTGTTTGATTCGTATACATATACTTGCATGCTATAAAGGTAGGAGTGGTTTTATCGTGGTCATATTGATTATTCGATGCCGATTTTCCCTCCTCGCCATATTAAAATACTCTGCTATAGACTTTGCATAAGTATATCGTGCTTATTCGTACGATAGAGATCATGTTTTACTTCGTGTGGCGATTTTTTGGCATTTAAATTTTGAGTAGACGGCTTCAAACTTCACGGTGAGCAAAAACCCGCTATTTGACTAAGCGAACAAGATTCACTTTTTTTAGTTTTGGTTCTTCAGGCCAGCTAGAGCGCATCAAGTCTTTAAAATCATACTAGACCGGTATTTTTTGTTTAGCGCTGATAACTCGTATTCGCCCATTTGCAATCGTTCGGTTATATCTACAATACCACGTAACGTAGCGATATCCAAGACGCACCTCCCAATAACTAACTACGTATTATTCACGTACATAAAAAAAGTTTCGGTCGGGACGTTTTTTCTTACCAGCTGAGTTCCGACGTGTAGGCAAGCAGTCCAGTCAGAGCAAGGAGCAGGCGGCCACCGTGCGGCACCGCCATCTTTGAATGACCTCCGTCAGTGTTTCAAAAATATTACACTCCAATAACCTCCAGCTCCAGTTTGCCCTGTTGTGCCGGGGCGCTTTCGACCTGAAATGAGAGAAATCGAAACGAACAAAAAATATGCTATTTTTTGGCATGCTACCACATAGAAATGCTGCGGATAACAACTACATTTGATAACACTTTACGTAGAATGCCCGCCGTTAATTTTCGATTTTGACAGAGTGAGGCATTATTTAATAAGGCTTCGACATTAAAGTTAACGGAAAAGCTTATCTCATTGGTGGCTAACGGCATAGTACATACACCAAGAGCGCAAGCTTCACATCGTTGATTTAAGTCAGCCAACTTTTAGTCCTAATCGAAAACTTAGGCAACAACGATTATCGATGTTTTGGTCCTCTTCTAAAATCCCTAGCCGAAGACAGCGTCTAAGCTATTTATCTATGCATAGATTTAATTGATTACGACGTTCCCCATTACAAAACGCAGTTGATACTGATTTTTCATAGCGGTAACATTAAATTTATAATTTTATTTAACGTATTTATTACCATATCTCTCCTATAAAATATAATACAGGCTTTGATTTGACGAGCTAGGCTTCAAGTACTTGAAAAAAAAGATATGAACTGCACGAAATTTAAAATCCGCTGATTTTAAGAAAAGTCCACGAAAAAACTACGGTGTCAGCTCTCGACATCAGGGGTGTGCGCTTGTAATATCTACTGTCTAACAGACTTTCTATGCTTATGTCCACTTTCGTTCCATTTTCATACCATTACATCACAAACGATAACCCGAACCCCGATACCCCGCAATCTTCCTACTAAATATTCATTGACACTTAAAAAAAATCGCGCTTCGTCTTCTCAAATCCGTACGATTCTCCCACTTCCTGTTATGATAGAAAGATATGTGTATTATATATAACCCATATGGCAGGATAACATTTGATGAGCATAAGCCCTACCATGTATTATCGGTGATCGGCCTCTTGTCCCGTGTCAAGCGGTACCTGCTCGTCATCATGAATCGTTTTCGCATATGTGTGTGTGTGTTGTGTGGGGACGGCCTAACGAACAAAGGTGACAAAGGCTCTGAAGCAACGGGTGTGAATGAAAACCGGCTTCTGCCACGGCTTTCGCCCGCGCGCCCAGACTGATTCAAGGCAAAGACGAACAATATCTCTATCTATGAAGTAATCAGGATAGCTGTAAAACCATGATCTAGACGACTCAGTCACCGTTGGGATCTTTATGTTGTGCTCCGTGGGCCTTCGTTTACTTTTTGCACACCTGCTCTTTACTCACTTACAGGCCATGATTATACCAGACACAGACAGCTTGCCATTTTTTGCGCCGGGGAACGAAGTGGGTTGGAAAAAAGGGGAAGGGGAGTAGATTTAGCGAATAATTGTGAATGTCTCACCCAGCGTATCTGTTCTACTTCACCTATAGCCAACAATGATATAGCTATTCAAAGAGCAGAAACGATGAAGCACATGCAATAATACAATGATGATAGTGTCAACTACCTGCTTGATCAATTCTAGTAAGATGCACACTATTCATGGCTACCGACGACCGTTGCACGTTTTTTGTCGATTAGGCAAAAGAGCGACTAAATAAAACCCAACGCGTGAGCAGGCTTGCCCCACAGGGCTGGGTGGCATGCCACATAAAGTTAGCAGTCAACGGTCGAATCGACCAAATGCAAAGATGGTGATCTCTTCTCGCTGTTAATTCCACGCGACGTCAGGCATCTGTATCGACGACGGCGCAGTGGGGTATTGTCCAAACAGTAATAGTCCCTACGATAGCAGCAATGGCAAGCAGAAGAAGAGATCAAGATCAAATGAACGAGTCAAAAAATATCCTTTTTTTAACTATTTTTTAAAAGTAGTTGCTTTCAGAAGTCTATAAAATCTCGAATAAAGGGCTTACACCATACCGTGCCTCCGTACAAAATTCTGTACACAAATGTTCCGTGTAACGCTTGCTGCTATACAACGTCCAGCATTCTCTGAACGACGCTGTAATTCATGGAAAATCAATTGATTTACTTCCGTTGTTGTCGTCGCACAGATCTCCCACGCTTCTAACGCCAGCGCAATTACGTGTATCTTTACTGTCAATCGTTATACTGTATTGGAGTAATAGTCACTACTTCTATAGTCTTTTTCTGAGTTTATGGCTTGTCAACAAAGAGGTGTGATTGCTTGGAACGCTGCCGGATGCCAAGTGTTACCAAGAGCGATTAATCTATGGACATTTGCATAGGAAAGACTACTGAATCCAATGACTGTAGAAGCATGTCACAACAACGACGACGACGACGACGACGACGACGATGACGTCCTACAAAACGTCATCGTCGTGTCCCTCTCAAACAGCTCCACGCCTTCTAATAGCGAAGGTTGCATATCAGAACAAACATGTATGGATATCATTACCTAATGTTGTATTGAACTAAAAAGAAAACTCGCCTCGAACACTTTGGCATCCGTATGGACAAATTGCTCGATAGATCTAAACCTTGGGCTCATGTTGAAAGATATCGGATGAAGGTGGCTATGCAAGACTCGGTCTATTTTATAGTGATCAGGCTTCCTGAACACGACATAACTACTAATGTGTTTTCTTATACACAAGCTACTGAGAAATGCCACACTTGATTCCACAGCAGACGTTCTCCAGACGATTTCCCAGCAGTAACGTTTGCGACACCGCGTTTTTCTAGGAAGGATTTTAGGGAGCGATTTTGGGCTTAGTTAACTTTCTGTAATAATAAATGTTGATCAGTAACGTTTTCCCTTTCAATATTGCTCTGGCATTCTAAAAAAAAGTGAAGAAATTCACCCATTAAGGAAAACAAATACATTATCACTCCAGATTTTGGAAGAATAACATCCGCTGAAAGAAAGTTTTAAAGTATCTTTTTTAGCGCGAAAGTCGTTTAAATTACGTGTCGATATCGATAAAAAAAAAGTTGCAGTACAAAGGACGCTTCAGTTTATAGTGTATATCTCTATACACTGTAACTTCCAGAGAAAAAAAAAAAAAAGTGGTTACTCTTAAGTAGGCAGGTCTGCTGAAACGTCTGGCCCTGTCTCTATTACCCTTCGACCTTATTAGTGCCAGACCTCTACCCAGTTGCTTGAGGTATACCGAGCATTTCACTCATATTAGTTTTTACCACTTTCTATCATATTTTAGTGCGCTGGGGTGCGGAGTATCCATCTTCTATTGAACGGCTCCAGATCCTAAACGTCAATGACTTGCGTTCTGTATCCAATGTCGCTTAGTTAGCCTCAGTCAGGCATATCTGGAGTCAGCATAATTTTCTTAATATCAATCATATCCATAAGCTTAAATTATAGTCTATAGCATCCCGAGCAAAAATAGTTTAGTCCCTTTCATTGCATTGCAAATGCCAATTGTAGCATCAGTTAGAACTCCAATTACCAGCTGTCTATTATGTGGAACTATCTATCTGAATAGAAATATCAGTCTGTCCTGTGAAATCAGACCTCTAACTGGGAAGATTGTTTTCAACCTTCTGATAGGTCTTTTTCCGACCCCTTGCTATTCGGTCCTTTTGATACTTGATTCGAGCTATACCTTTATTCTGTATTCAACCTTGTTAACATAAATCTTTAATGTATTATACGATTAGTTCACATTTTGTAGATGATTCAACTGAAAATCCATACCACAATGCTTTTTTTTTTAAATGTTTTTATTTATAGTGGCAAATTTTTACTAAATAAATGTTTTTAGGTTTACGTCTGGCAATGCGTTAAGCATTTTTTCTAAATGATCAGCTACATCTAATTGAACACAAAATGTGCTTACGCCTGGTTTTGAACCTAAGCCATTTCACTTATCCATTACGTTAGTATGCCGACCCCCGCATCATCATCACAGGAACTCCAAATTTGCGCTGAGTCACCCTTCTGCGTACTGTTCCTTTTTATCTATGAGTTGACATAATACTTTTCGCAAACAGGTCTATATAGAACTGCTGTCTATTCGAAGTTCACCTACTTCGACAGTGTCGTCCCTCATGCCTGTTTGTTTCCTATAGAAGAGCTACTGTCACTATGGCTTTTAATACAGACGAGCGCGTCAATAACGTATGATAATAATGAACCGAAGATGCTCGGAAGCTTAGTTGTGTCCCGTAAGTTTTATTAACTTCAAACGCCGCCGTCAGCAGCTTTGGCAAAACATCGCCAGCCGGTAGTAGCGGTGGCTGGTATTTGTAGTAGCGGCGAATCAAAGTTAGGATCACTTCGTGCCCCCTTCCTGCCGAGTATTGCAGTACCTCCTTTGATGTCAGCCGATGTTCTCACAGCCCGAAGGACCTCATTGGTAGCAGACGTAGCAACTTCAGCAGCATTGAAGTCACTTATTCGTCCACGCCCGCCGTCTTCGTAATCGTTCTTTCGAGTTGATCGTTGCCGATGTCACTTAGTACTACGAAGGCGACAACATTATTATCATCTCATTTGACGAAGGAACTGTGTGAAAGGCTGAACTGTACTCGTAAGCGCAACATCACCGTTGTATCGCCAATTCGAATCGAAAGATGGTCGTTGACAGGTCAAAGCATCGGCACTCGGAAGAAGCGGAACTTCCGCGCAACAAACGACGATCATCGGACGAATATGCATGAATCCACTAAACGATACTGCCTGCTGGGCCAGTAGCTGGGGTCATGACGAAACGCTCACCAGCTCTTTAGAAGGAGAAAACGCTACGTAGAGCTGAACTTGTCGATAGAAGTACTGAAATCAAGCAAATAGGACAATACTCAAACAGATTGTAAAAAAACAATCAAATGACAACACCGTACGGTGACACTTTATAGAAAGAGCTAAATGCCTTCGCAGTTAAATGCCCTCCCCCCCCCCCCACTGGTTTATAGCTAATGGACGCTATCGCAGCGTCCTTATGGAGTGGGGAATGCCTCCAACGGTATCATCTCCAACCACCACCGTTTGACCATATATGACCAACCCCACGTGGTCGCCAATTTTACATCGGCGATGTTGGAAGCCCCACCGAGGTCGTTCAGGCTGT